GTAAGTCTCTCTTTATATTGCAATTAATCAATTTCTAATTTATGTTCAGAATTATTAATATCTGATATAATATACATCGTATCTAACTAAGCATGATTACTTGTAATAGAGCTACAAAATGAGAAAGTGAATTCCAATTTAATTCTATCTCACATAACTTGTTAAAAAAGGGATTTATTTTTTGCTCCAATAGCATTTTAACTATTACTTCGATAAAATTAAGATGCTGTTAATTTATTATATTTCAAGAGTAATTTAGCTTAAAGTGATATTCTTTTTCAATACCTTATTGCATGTTTTAGGGGTAAAGTAAGAAACACACACGCAATACATTTTAATCAGATTCACAAGAATAAGAAGATTAAATATAAAGTATAAATAATAATAATAAAATTGTAAGTATAAATTAAGTTATAAGTATAAATAAAATATGAGTATAAATAAAGTATAATGAAATATAATTAAACATTTTAGTAAGTTAACTTGGCCGCCTTTACAGTTCTCGTTTACTTCTTCGAAAATAATCTTCTTTCAATGGAACTTTCTCACTCAAACCTCCCCAGTGACATGAATTGTTGAACATCATAACATGCTGCGACCCTTTCAGTTTATAGAAGATTTCAAATCAAATTATGCTATGAATATGTAGGAGTATATTTAGTGTACGTTGGAGACTGTAACGAACATAACAGGGGTGGCGTACGTTCAATTATAACATACCATAATCTTCTAAACAGTTTTGCGACTTGTCGATTTTAACACTCACTTTTCCAAGTATCTTAAGATCCTGTAATGAAATAACACTATATTACCTCTTTATAACATGCTTTTACAATTCATAATGTTTGCAAAACTCTTGTTTCTTATTCATAGAGTAGAGAAGAAAAGAAAACTTCAGAAAAGTGACTGCCATACCCTCTCAAGACCACCATATTGTGTGGTCCAAGGCCAAATGCTTTCCCTCTACCGTAACTGAATAAGGGTACTTTTAATTATACCATTTATCTCGTCAAAATTTTACGAACAAGTGTACTCGAAAAATCATTTTTATCTTTACCTGTAACATTAGCATAATAATGATCTCTTTGAAAACCATTTAATAAATTATATCAGAACAATTAAACATATGTATGAAATGTTGACCAAATTATTATGGCAAAACTTTTATCGTTAAACCATCAGTTTCAATCCATTTTACGCGTCATTTTTCTCATTGCGTTACTTTTACTCATTACATTTAATTTTCACGTTATATTTTAGTAGTATTGTTTTATTTAGCAGTATTTTTTACGCTTATTATTTTTTTTTAAATCTTAATTTTATATTCAACTTTTAATTTTTATACGCTTTCAATTTAGTTTACTTAACTTATTTACTTTGTACTTTAATTAACACTATTATTCATATTCGATTATATTTCATTTTATTATTTACTTTACACATATTTTACTATTCGTTACTCTTTATTTTATACGTTTTTTTCTGGAAAATATTAAATTTAGATTAAATGTAGATTTAACTTACATTTCACATTATGTTTTACTTCACACTTTACGCTTCGTTTACATGACGCATCTTTTTCAAAATTTACTTTAAACCAGACGCTTTACTTTATGATATTATAAATTTTTTATACTTTATACTTTACTTAATCTTTTTACTATATTTTGTTTATATTTTACGCCTTCCAATATTTTATATTATGCTATTATTATTTATTTTGCTTATTATTATTATTGCTTATTACATTATTATTTTACATTGCTTTGCGCGTTTTACATTTTGGTTAAATTATTTTAAATTGCTTTCCGTTATTTTATATTTTACTTTACATTTAAAGCTTTGGTTTATACTTTCCTATATATTTCACGCTATCTTACCCTTTATTTGCTTCGCGCTTTTCATTATACTTTACACTTTTCTTTATATTTTATGCGTTACTTACGGTATACTTTATATTATGTTTAACTTTTTTCTATAGACAGGG